TTTTTTTTTTTTTCTTTTTTGTTCTCTGTTAGCTTTTCAATATTTGCTGCTCTTGTCCTCTTGCATTTACTACAAAACACTTTGACTTACAAAATATTTTTTTACTTGTTGACTCTATTTTCCTGTACCCAGACATTTTACAAATACCACCAAAAAAGCAGCTTAAATACCCAACAAACTGTCAGCTTCTCGAAAGTAAGCCTCTGGTAGCATACACACTTTTATTATTCTCGAATTACAACTACTGTTCCGGTCAACCACATACAAGCAGCAATGATAGTATTAAGCAACCTGTTTCTGCCAAACAACAAGCATATTTTCTTCATCAAGTCACCATTTTTGTGACTTTGTTTTCAACACAAAAACAGTAACAAAATCATTTCAAGTTTTTGGAAATAGTGCAGCAGGAGGGTAAGTAATACTAAAGCATTTTAATAAATTTACCAAGACAACAAAAATGAAAAAAAACTGGTAAATTTCTTTGTTCTAGTCAATATAATACTTTATTAAAACTGTTTTGCTTTTGCCACTCAAATTTCAAAGACTCTTTGTTGACGAAAAACAAAAGTATTGTCCCTGACCCCGTAAATAAAAACAAAGAAAAGAGTGAAGTGAAAAAAAAGTGGAAATTGTTCCATGCTTTTAACAGAAAATGCTCGTTAATTAACTGGAAGTGATTTAACAGGTAAAAAAAATTTCGCAACTGCGAACTAGTTTTCCTGAAAAAAACAAAAAGGAAAAAAAAACAAGTAGGTTTTTTTTGCACCGGGAAAAAGGGATGAAACAAACATATATAAAGAAGCGGCGTACGGTTATCAAATCATTCACGACATCATTATGCATGAGACTCAAGTGATTGCGTGCATTGCTGCATTCTGCAGCAGCGCTGCAGTACTCGCATGCATTCTCGTCCTGCCGTCGATGTATTCGACTGTCAATCAGGTTAACTGTTTCTTATTTTAAACTTCTTGCTTCATACTCATCATTTTCACATACAATACTCTTATACCAATTAAAATGCCAACTTTCCAAGCGCAAGATCCTGTAATCCTATTACCTACATGTTACAAAATTTAGATATGAAGCACATACAGATTTAAGCACTTGACCAAACAATTACAGTAGAAAATTTAGCTACATGATAAAGTCGTAGACGGTGTACAAACCTTCCGTGTAGAGACTGATTCGGCTTGGACAAAAATGATGGAAATACAGGTTAAAGTTTTACCAGAGAGCAAACCTGATGAAAATCCTTTTCAAAGCTTCATTCGTCACAAGCGTCAAGCTGGACTTCCACCATTTTGCATATGCCAGCCAAAAAGAGAGTGTCCACCAGGGCCTCAAGGACCTCCTGGTGATCCCGGACCTGATGGGCGTAAGTTAACGCTTTAAAGTCCTCATGTTTTCCTTTCTTGTAAACATCAACAGCGTTGAAAACGCTGAATTTCCAAAATGAGAGTCTTAGAAATGAGGGTTGCTTCAATAATCGAGTCCTGGTTATTTATCAAGCTTAACAAACAGCAATGAAAAACCAAACTCTATCAAGAGAATTATACTGCAGTTTAGCAAAAAGTGTTTACTCACTCTTCCGTAAAGGCTAACTGCGAGAAGATAAATACATTGAGCTAGTATCTTTTGTAATCTGCTGATCATATTCTGCTGCAAGAAGGGAATGATAGAAAAAAACCACCTAGAGAGTATTGAGAGAGTTTAGACTTACTCAAAAAAAACTTACTAAAAACAAATAAATGTCATTACTTCATTACTTGACCCACCAAAATTCATTTCCTATTCTAACTGTTTTTGAATTTTAATCATTACACATCTAACTGTTGCATTACGTAGAACAGCTTCTAAAAGATGATAAACAAGAATCAATTGCAGCACCTGGGCCACCTGGACCGCCTGGACCAGATAACCATGACATACCAGAATCTATAAGTTGCGACGTCGATACTAAGACCTGCATAAAGTGCCCGCCAGGACCGATAGGACCACCAGGACCGGATGGAGAGATGGGTCCACCCGGTCCAGACGGAGTTGTCGGACCACCAGGACTTAACGGTAAAGTCGGACCGCCAGGACCAGACGGACCTCCTGGCCCACCAGGCCCAATGGGTCCTCCAGGATTACCAGGACTTCCTGGACCAGCAGGTCGTGA